CCCTGTTGAGTGTACGGATCTTTATACCACCATGGCAGCTGTTCATCTTGACTACCTGAGGAAGCAGTTCAGAGTCAGAGCAAACATCTACAGCTCATTACAGATAACTGGGTGGTTTTACCACCCGCTTTGATTTTATTTTCCAATTCACGTAAAGCCCTTGTATTAAATTGTTCCTTAGAAATAAACTTGCCTTCAGACCTCATGTGGGAATAAAACTCACCTGGAGTTTGAGGAGCACAGGTGATGCTTCCAATCAGGAGGAAAGAAATCCACAACATTCTGCAGAAACATGGAAGTTCAGATCATTAGCAGCATTCAGACCAGAAGGTTCTAGCAACACATCTTCAGTCCAGGATTCAAGCTGCTGTTAAAGTGGACCTCACCTCATAGTGCTGCTCTGCTGCTAGTGAAAGATAGACCTCAGATCCCCCTGATAGAGACTCCAACCTGCAGGAGCTGCTTTTATAGGATCCTCAGAGCAGCTGGAGATGATTGGAGCTGATTGCTGAAGGTTAGCCACACCTCTTCTATTGCATTTTTTTGTTTTTTTTTTTGGTTACCAGTTTGACTTTTATTGGTTTAAACCACGGGTCACCAACGGGGTGCCCGCGGGCACCATGAGGTCCTCAAGGACCACATGGGGGGCCCTCTTCATCTTCTGAAAACAGAACAACTCACTCAGCGGGTTGAGTTTAATTTTTGTTTATTCTGTTGCTCTTCTTTTTAATCATTTATGTATTATTTCATCATGTTAACTATTTCATCATATTTCAGTGTTTTCAAAATGACAATATTAAAAAGAAACTTAGAAATGAATAAAATAATAAAATAAGAATAAAAATTAGTTTTTATGGATGAGATTTACTGTAGGTGAACACTGATCCCTCCAGTTCATAGGTCAGTATTGGTAGCCCTTCCTATGACTTGGTAGCCATAAAGTAGCCCTCAGCCTTAAAAAGGTTGGTGACCCCTGGTTTAAACTAAGTAATAATACAAAAACAAAGAAGCCCATACAGCTTGCAAAAACTGTGTTGGGGAACTGTGTCCATTTTCTCTCCTAAAATCAGTCAGTCTTTAATCGGGCAGAACAGCAGAATCAAACTCCTTCGTTCGTGATGACTTTAAACACTGAAATCAAACTTTAAAAAGTTTAAAAAGATTTTTAAAAAAAGATAGAAGTGGACTTTGAAAGATGGAAATCGCCTATGATCTCACTTATGGGTAGTGTAGCTTCAATTAAAATGATGGTCTTACCTAGAATGAACTACTTATTTTCAATGATCCCCAATAAACCATCATCTGGATGGTTTGAAATCTCTAGATTCTTCCATTTCCAAATTTCTTTGGAAAGATGAATTCCCTCGTCTCAGCTTAGAGACACTACAGAAAACTAAAGAGAGAGGAGCACTAGATCTGCCTAACTTCCACAACTACTACTTAGCAAATAGAATACAATACATCTCTTAATTGAGTAAAACGTAATCCCTTAGATAAGCCCTGGATAGACACAGAACAGAAAATATGCAGTAATACCACAATTTCAGATTTGCAGTTTCTTAGCTCAAGTATAAAATGGCATTCATGCTTTAAAAATATTACTATCAACTCTTCGCTGACAGCATGGTGGAATTTCTTAAAATGACAAAGTTATCACTTATCCCGTGCAGCCTTACACCCATCTGGAATAACCTTGACATTCTATAAAACAATAATATGATAAACTTTCCGTACTGGAAGAATAAAGGTATTGAATATCTGGTGATTTATTTGATGGAACGGAGTTGATCACATTTAAATGATGCACTATTGCATTAATAAAATGATTATGGGTATGTACAGGTATGTAAGGACTTATCACAGTGCCTGAGTTGTAAATTTTCACCTTCCCCATCAGTTTGCTTGCTGGGTGACTTTGAGGAAAGCTCTCTGAAAAAAACATAGTTTGCATGGCTTTCACTGCATCCTCATGAACTGGAAAAGGAAGGAAAATGTCGGTATCAATCAGTATACACATTTTTTTTGGATCATATTAATGTTGAGACAGCATCTGCATCCGCATCAGACCGATCTCTCTGGGCTCCCTTGATCGGATGCATTACTTAGTGGAATGGGGGGCTGTGGGATGCGTCCTGCGTGGCGGGAGGGCTGGTTCGGGGGGTCCCTGAGTCTTGGGGCTCTTGGGTGGGGGTAGGGGTTGCTACGGTATAGAACGGGAGGGAGTGGGCCTGTGAGTTATTTAGGGGCGGGGGTTCTGGTTGGGTGGCCTGTACGGGACATGTTGGCCCCGTCCTTGGGGGGCTTATGCCGGGGGTTGGGACCAAAGCAGGAACCACATGGGTTGTATTGTGGCAATGACACCGCTCCTCTCCACCCCCATCTGGATTTCAGTGTTCACCTACTGGGTCATCCGGTAGCCCCGGGAACGGCACCTGCCCCCCAAAGGGGTCCCAGGTGCACGGCCTTGGGATTATTGGATGTGTGTGTTATGTGCGAATGTCCGTACGCTTTTTTTTTTTTGAAGAGTCTGTGTGTTGCGAGTGGGGGCACTAGGGTGGGATTAAGACTGTCTTCACTAAGTGTGGAGCCCATTCCCCCTGTTCTGCCCCCCTCCACTGGCTTGCTCTTTAGCCCGCCAGTGCATTGGTGGTGCTTGGTGTTTTGGGGTGGATGCCTGGGTGGGTACTGGCTCATTCCTGGCAGCTGTGTATATTTGAAAAGAAACATACTTGTGACATCACCACATGCTTACCTTGTCTGGACCTGCTTTTCACCTATTCATAGTCTATAGAAAAAAATACATTCTTATTTTCATATAGTGGGACAATAATGATCAACAAAGTCAGATAAACAAAAATGAAATTTTGCCAAATACAACAAAAAGGCCATCAGAGCCGGCGGTGCTTCACACACGGCTATGCTAAGGCTGCAGCAGACGAGCTAATGTAAGCCCTGGACACGGTTAGAGTAGTAGCCCTGCTGGTTGCCATGGTCCTCTCAACACATTGCATCACATTTTTTTTTAAGAACGCACTAAATCAGTAAATGGGCCATATAGTAAAGC